TCCTGCACGGCAACGCCTCCCTGCTCTTCAAAAGGACAAAGCCCGCGGGGGAGAGCGGCGGCCACGGGCCCCCTCACCCCTCCGAGAAGGCCAGCAGCATCCAGTCCCGCCCGCTGCCCTCCCCACCCAAGCTGCTGGCCCAGGAGTCACCCGACGGGCCCTACGAGAACAGCGAGGGTGGCTGGATGGAGGACTATGACTACGTCCATCTCCAGGTGGGCACAGGCTGAGAGGGGGGGTGTTCTCCTTGCCAAGGGGGTTTTTTGGTGCCGGCGGGGTTGCCTGGTGTGCCAGGGACCTGGTTGTGGTGGGGCTTCTGCCGCCCATGTCTTGGTTTTATCCTCCACCTTGAGGGCTGTGAGGAAAAAGCTCCTTACTGTGAGGGTGGAAGAGCCCTGGGACAGGCTGCCCAGGGAGTTCGTGGTGTCTCCTCCTCCAGAGACATTCCAAACCCACCTGGACGTGTTCCTGTGGGATCTGCTGTGGGTGATCCTGCTCTAGCAGGGGGTTGGACTCGGTGATCTTCAGAGGTCCCTTCCAATCCCCACCACTCCGTGACAGGGCTGTCCCAGGGCAGGTGGGGGCTCACTCCCGGCAAGGCTGGTGTTGCTGACCCCCATGTCATGGCCTTTCCTTCCCCGCAGGGCAAAGAAGAGTTTGAGAAGACCCAGAAGGAGCTGCTGGAGAAAGGCAACATCATCCGGCAGAGCAAGGACCAGCTGGAGCACCAGCAGGTAACGGAGCTGGGGGGTGGGCAGGTGCCATGGGGCACAGCTCTGGGGATGGGCAGGGGGCTTTTGGGCCTTGTACCCTGCACTGCCAGTGTGGACCACAGCCCCTTCTGGTGTGGCTGTCCCCGTGGTGGGTTCTGGCTCACCTCCCCTACCCGTGGAGAGGGGCACCAGCACCCTGCTCCTGGAGAGGAACCTGGCACTGCTGTCCTGCAGCTGGCACTGACCCTTGGCAGTTTCCCTTGGGGGCACAGCTGTCACCTGGGGCTGGTGGTGGCTCTGGGTGGCTCAGCGGCTGTCCCACCTCACCTCCCACCCCACCCCTCTTACCGCAGCTGAAGCAGTTTGAGCGGCTGGAGCAGGAGGTGTCGCGTCCCATCGACAACGACCTGTCCAACTGGAGCCCCCCCCAGCACTACAGCCCGGCACGGGGCGGTGGGGCCCTGTGTCCCGCCGACCGCCAGCTCCTCCTCTTCTACCTGGAGCAGTGCGAGGCCAACCTCACCACCCTCACCAACGCCGTCGACGCCTTCTTCACCGCCGTCAGCACCAACCAACCCCCCAAGATCTTCGTGGCCCACAGCAAGTTTGTCATCCTGAGCGCCCACAAGCTCGTCTTCATCGGGGACACGCTCTCCCGCCAGGCCAAGGCCCAGGACGTCCAGCACAAGGTGATGCACTACAGCAACCTCCTCTGCGAGATGCTGAAGGAGATCGTGGTGACCACCAAGGCCGCCGCCCTCCACTACCCTTCGCCCTCCGCCTCCAAGGACATGATGGAGCGTGTCAAGGACCTCGCCAACAGCACGCAGCAGTTCAGGATGGTGCTGGGCCAGCTGGCCGCCATGTGATGGCCCCAGGGGCTGCTGTCCCCTCCCCGTGGCCTCCACCCCATCCCCAGACACCCGTGCCCCCCTCCACGTGAGCCCCCTCTGCCCGGTGCGAGTGGACATGTACAAAGAGACTCCCACGCTCCCCGGGGGCCTGGGGCTCTGCTGGTAGAGGGGGTGAGGGGCTGTAGCCATCATTCCCCCTTCTTCTTCTTCCTCCCTTTGGCCAGAAGATTGGTTTTGGAGCCGTGCCCGTGACGAAACAAAGCTGGGAGGTGGATTTGTGCCCCAGTTCCCTCCCTGTGGTCCGTTCTCTCTCTGTCTCTCTCCTGGCTGCTCCTGGAGGCCATGGGGCTGTCCCTGCTGAATGGAGATGGATTCTGTGGCTCTTGGTGTGGGCTCTCGAGCCACCTCTGGTGGACCCTGGGTTGTGAATGGGGTGGCAGCCAC